CGGCTTGGTGGCAGGCAGTGGGGAGCGGGGGGGGCTGGGGTGGGCTGGGGAGCAGACGGGCCCTGCTGACCGAGGGTTCACTCTGCCTCGTTTCACTTTCGCGTGAGAGCTGATTAGGAGCCGAGACTCTGGCTGAGCGACGCCTTGGGGCCCGCCTGGCCACTACTCACGGAGCAGGCGTCTCAGCTGGCACTGCTCCCGCTTGCCAGCTCAGGGCTGGGGAGGCTGCTCGGAGCCAGACCCCGATGCTCTGACAGTGGCTACCTACCCCGTCCCGGGACACCCCTGGCCTCTTCCTGCCTGGCAAGTCAGGCCCACACGGGGTGCCCACGGAGACACTGCAGGGAGGGAGGCAGAGTAAGCTGAGCATGAGCGAGGGCGAGGCCCTCTGGCTCTGACGCACTGTCTCCTCACACGGCGGAGCTGGGAGAGGACTCGCCGCCAGGTCGGGGCACGAAGGATCCTTGATCACACAGGGCCAGGCCCCCAGTGGCTACCTACCCCGTCCCGGGACACCCCTGGCCTCTTCCTGCCTGGCAAGTCAGGCCCACGCGGGGTGCCCATGGAGACACTGCAGGCACACCCCAGACCGGCTCTCTACCTGGAAGGGACCGCCGTGTGAGGAGACAGCGCGTCAGAGCCAGAGGGCCTCGCCCTCGCTCATGCTCAGCTTACTCTGCCTCCCTCCCTGCTCGGGCGCCTGGTGCCGGCAGGGCCCGGTGCACCACCTATGATTCTGGTTCTCGACGGACGTGTGCGAGCTTTGGTGAGTGCAAGCTCTGGGCACTTGCCTCGGACTGCCCGGCCAGAGGGTGGCACCCATGCCTGCAGACCGTGTGACCCACCTGCAGAAGGAGCGTGCGTGCTCTGTCTGAGCGAGCGAGAAGCGAGAGTGCCAGAAATACCTGTCCTCCAGGGAAGCACCAGGCCGACAGCTGTGGCCTCTGTTTAGTGGCACGGGACAGCCATTGGCCACATCCCAGGGACTCGGCAGTTCCCAGCAGTGCTGCAGACGCCTGCCATGCGCCCCTGTGCTGCACGTGGGCACTGTCGTCGCCGGGCCTTGGAGGCGAGTTGCTCTGCTCTAGGGAGACGCACACGCAGCTCACTGGCTCTCGGGGTCCCCGGCAGAGCGATCCCAAAGCTTTCGCTCCACCCACGCCACGCCAGGCGTCTCCCTCCACCTCCGCAGGCTGCCCCAGGCACCTGTCCCTGCTAATGGCTATGCAGCAAGGGGCTGCTCAGCGCTTTT